TATATATATATATATATATATATATATATATATATATATATATATCATTAAAAAATTACTAAATTGATCACATTTGATAATTAAGAGACATAATTATCATTGAAAAAAAATTACAATATTAGAACTTTGTCGCTTTATATAAAAAATTAACAAACAATTAAGATCTTTTATAACGAGTCCCAAAAAATTACTTTAAATAGGAAAATAAAAAAAATTATTTATTTTGATTCTATTTATAATTTTAAAAAGATTGATAAAAAAAGGTAACCGTGTCTATTATTGTATTCAGCCATTTAAGATGTGTCTAAACTGTGTCAAAGTCGAAAAAACAAAGTAAAAAATAAGACAAGGCAAAGATGTGTCTGACATGTTCCATAATATGTTGGCAGTGTGTTGGTGTCGGACACCACAACACCTCTTTTGTTAGGTGTTTAGGTGCCGTTGACATTAACTTACCTTTTTATTATTATTATTATTATTACTCATTTAGAAGCGATGATAGGGGATGTGAACAAGTTGATGCTCAACATTCTAACAAAAATTCACCTGAACTCTTTGTCCTGCTTAAATCGTACTGATTGTTGCCTTTTTACTTTGATGCAACAGGATGGACATTTTTGTAGATATGATCAAGTTGAAATCTGGGCAGGATGTCCCTATGTTATCAGTTATTGATAATGGTCAAGGGATGAATCATGACGAGGTTATGAAAATGGTATCTTGTGGGCACAAACAGTCTGATAAAGATGACAAGGATCATATTGGCAAATTTGGTGTTGGATTCAAAGTAGTTTTCTCTCTGTTTCCTTTTTTTTTTTCTCCCTCCCCGCCTGAGGTTGTTGTTATGTGAGGGAATATAAATTATACACGAGGGAATCCACTCATTGAAAGATCTTATTATATAGAGTCATAATTACAAGAGTTAACTAAATATAATTACCATTGTTACACTAAGGTAATCCATAAATATCCACTTTATATTAATTCTAACAAAGATAAATTTTAATTCATGATTTTGTTCAAGACCGTCTTAAAAATTGGAAAAAAAATATAAATTTTATATCTTTTCAGTCTCACTTGTATCTTCTTGCTTCGCTGAAATTTTGACTTGTTATTTTTGTTGTTTTTCTTCCATAGACAGGAGCAATGAGGCTCGGGAGAGATGTTCTGGTTCTAACACAGACAACCAACTCTAGATCTCTAGCTTTTATTTCACAATCATTGAATGCAGGCAAAGATGTAAGTTACACCATAAGTGTTAAACAACCGTAATGGTGTCATGTTTGCTACATTTGTACCCTACATTGTTATGTCTGTCGAGTGTCCGACTAATTGAGCTTTTGAGTTAATATTATGTCAATTCCTTTACATTTTTTTTATATTTACGTATAACTTTTTTTTTTTATACATATAATTGATTTATATTAGATATTTTAACTGGCAGTGGATTTGAAAAAAGACGATTCTGTAATTAGACATTGTGATGATTGGTGTTAATCAACTATTCCGAAATTTGATTCCATTCTTTAAATTTTTAATGTTTGTTTAATTATTTTATTTTATTGCAGAATATTGAAATTCCCGTTATTAGTTATTGTCGACAAGGACAGCGTATGGAAGTTGACATAAATATGCAGTCTGAAGCTTTAGCAAAATACAATTTGAAAGCAATTAAGGAATTTTCACCATTTAATAAGTATCTTATTGGTGAAAAGGCAGCCTTGTTTGGTGAGGGTACAGGAACACAGATATACATATGGAACTTGGAAAAATGGGGATCAAGATATTGTTTAGAATGGCATGATGGATTAAAAGGTGGGAGTTCTTTTCACCAAGGTGACATTGTAATCCGCAGCAAAAGATGTCGTTCTCGTATAGGCCAGATTAGTCAAAAGGTATGACATCTCTTTTACTAACGGGTTTGTCAGTTGATACTTTGCTGTAATTTTTTTTTCCTTCATGATTTATGTGGTTTTCAGGTTCCATTGGATTACTCATTACGAGCTTATTTAGAAGTTATATTCTTAGTTCCTCGAATGAAGATAAGTGTACAAGGGGCACTGGTAATTGCATTCTCTTGTTAGTAGTTTAGTTTTGGGGAGAGGGTGGGGTGGTTGGGGGGGGGGTGAAAGATTGTTTTCCAGGCTAGTTTAGACCTTATGTATATCTAATTTTTTTATTTTGTCTTTTGTTTAGGTTAAAAGCAGACCACTAGCAAATTTTCTGACTCACACTGTTATTGAAACTGGTGAGATATTGGGAAGTCCTATTCAATTAATTTTGGGATTTAGTCAACTAGAGTGGGAGCAGGCAAACTGTGGAATATTTTTATATTGGCATGGTCGCTTAATTGAGGTGAGGAGTTAAGCTCTGGGGTCAATGGGAAGATATTATGCCATATATGTACAGAAATAATTGTCTTATGGTCGTCTAATTGTCAACTATATCCCAAAAGTTTGGTGTTGAAATATGTTTTTTTGAGGTGACACATATGTTTGTCAGGGAAGAATCTTATTACAAAATGTTGAGGAATATTTTATCATTACTGTGAATGCGAGCTTAGTTTCTTTTCAATAACAATATGATTAACTTGAAGACTGCTTAAGAATGTAAGCCTAATTTTGTCGACTATTAATAGGCTTACAAGAGAGTTGGTGGCATGATTCATAATGCAGATGTGGGCCGTGGTGTAATTGGTGTCGTAGATGTAACCACTTTAATGGTATGTATTTTCTTATTTCATTTTGTTCTAGTAATATCTTATTAGTTTTGCATCGGTTTACTTGTATATAGTACTAATTGAAACCTTTGAGAGATTAATGTGTGCAATGCTTGCTTGTTGAATGTTTTCACTCATTTAAGTAATATTAGCACGTGGCAGCATACTCTCCAATACACCTTTTCAAACATTTTAATTGGGTAGAACTCATGTGAAACCCACTAAATAGTGGATGAGACTGACATTATTTCATCGTTCCTAATTATTTCAAACTTGGCCCAGCCCGAAAAGGTTGTAGGGCCCGATAGTCCACCTGTTCCACCATCATAGTATGATATTGTCCGCTTTGGGCCCAAGCCCGCACGGTTTTGTTTTTGGGCTCCTTCCCAAAAGGCCTCATACTATGTGGAATGGTGGACACTTATAAACTAGCCAATGTTCCTTCATTTTACCGATGTGGGACTTGGGATGAATCCCAACAAACCTCCCCTCAGACCAAGGACCACATGTCTCGTGATCTCCTCCCCTCAAGCGATAATCCGTCACCATCTTGTACCGCCGTTAACTCTACGGGACACGCCGCCTGAACACCACAATATCAGGAAGACTTTCGACACAAGGCACCAAGTTCGAATCTCCATCGCGAGGCACAACACTGAGGGTCTTCCCGCATCAAACCCAGACGAACCGTTGGCTCTGATACCACTTGTAGGGCCCGATAGTCCACCTGTTCCACCATCATAGTATGATATTGTCCGCTTTGGGCCCAAGCCCGCACGGTTTTGTTTTTGGGCTCCTTCCCAAAAGGCCTCATACTATGTGGAATGGTGGACACTTATAAACTAGCCAATGTTCCTTCATTTTACCGATGTGGGACTTGGGATGAATCCCAACAAAGGTCACTATGTGACTAATTGGTGAAGTAATACTTTTCAGAATTTTATGCTTTTGAACTAGGCTTTTATATGCACAAACTACTTTGTATCTCAAACCAATTTTCAATATGGTGAATTTTTTCTGACCTTCGTTTTTTCCTTTCATGACTTCCAAGATAAATCTGTGTTCATTCTTGTACACTCTTTATATATGTTCTGCATAATTTTTAATACGATTCAAAAATTAACTTGGATAACCTTCACCGGCCTAATTTTTATGGAACTTTTTCTGATGGGTTTTTGAATATTGATAAACTTCTTTAATATTTCGTGTTTTCTTGTTACCGGAATCAATTTTTTCATCAAAGTATTCACTTAACTTGCTTAGTCAATAATTTGTTGCTGTTTTCATTAGGAAGTTTTTAATTCTGTTTATGACATCTAACTCAGTACATTTTCTTTCCTTTGGCATAGGATGGTCAGGATGGTCATGTGTGGGTGCATAATAACAAACAGGGTTTCCAAGATTGTGAACCATATGCATGTCTTGAGGAGTGGCTGGGTAGAAAAGCTGATGAATTCTGGGACAATAATTTTGATTCACTTAAGTTGGTAAATCTCTTCTGTAACAGATCTTTTTGAAACACCTGTTATTCCTTAGGCTTAAAACAAAATATTTTTGTGAATGCTTGCATTTTCTCCACATGGGACTACACTGCTAGTCATTGCTTATTTGTCACAGATATTTTCAGTAAATTGAATTTGGTAGCAGTAAGTAATTCAATATGATTTGTGAATAGATGTCCCCTTTTCATAAGATGTCTTTTAAGGATGAAATAGGATATTAGATGAAGAAGTACGAGTTGCACTTCCCTTTTCAAATGTATATATTTCCTTCATGGGGGTTGTAAACTTAATTTTACTTTTATTACTTCCCAGGACAAAGATAATTGTGTCTTCAAACCTGATTGTGAGTGGGTACAATGTGACAAGTGCAGAAAGTGGAGAGTATTACCTTCTGACTTTGACAGTAGAAAATTACCTATGCAATGGTATGTTACTTTAACAACAAAAAAACACCATCTTCTGAGTAACTTATTAATGATGAATCCATTATTTGTTGTTATTTTTTTTTTTTTTTGGTGTCAGTAATGGAATACTGATTTTCTTTTTACTCATTTGTCTAATTATTTGCTAGTAGAAAGGAATGAGGGAGGGGTCAAGGCAAGGGTTAAGATTAACTTACGGGTATGTTATAAAGGTAGTTAAATAATTGAAATATAAATCATATAAATGATCAATTTAGTTGGTTTTGTATTGGTTTTGGAAAATCAAATTAAAAACCAGACAAAGGTGGTCCGTTTCCAAAGCAAAAGCCAAATGGAATAGAAATATATTGGTTTGATTAGTTTTGATATTTTTAGATCAGTTTGCTGGTTTCGATTGGGTTGAATGTCATTTCCATCAATATTTTGTTTGGTAATCCAATTTTGCTTCTTTGATCTAATTTATTTAGAATTCAAATGTTATGACATTGCTTGTGGTTAAATGATTGACCTTTGGTAATATATATTTTTTTTACCTATGACGTAAGTAGATAAAGGAATAGAAAATTACAAAATTTGTAGTTGTGTCTCAATATTGTTTGATTGTATATGTTGTTCTAATCTTTTGGGAATTCTACTTGCTATATTAGGTTTTGTTATATGGTGCCTTTCAAAGGACAATGTGCAGATGCTGAACAGAAGATGGAGGATGGCGTGGTAAATGTTTCCACAATGCGGTCGGGTTATGACTGCATGCTGAAGGATTCTGATTGTAAAAAGATTGAAGTTGTTATTAAAACCACTACTGGGACAGGTTAGATTATCAGAACAAACAAGAAATCTTTTATTTCTGATTATTTTTAAAAAATACAAAAAACATTTATAAAAGAAAACTAATTTGTCACAATCAAAGAAATACTAGGAAGCAACAAATAGTTTATCACCTATGACTTGATTAGGATTAAGATTTTATTCAAATCTGATTCTAAACAGATTGAAATTTGATTCTAATAGAAAATAATTGATAGAAAATTAAGCTGACATAGGTACAGTGAGACCAAAAGAAAAGGATTCCTCGCTGAGCCAGCCACAATAGTATTAAATATAAAAACAGCTTTAACAAGACATATAATAATAATAATACAAACTATATTAATCAATTACTTCCTTTAAGCTAGAGCATATAAGACTAAACAAGGAAGGAGATAAACGATGATAACTCAATAAACTATAAATAGGATGAGGATTTGAGTATACCAACTAGAGTTTTCATCATGAGGTGGTATGATGAAGCATCCTTTGTAGTGGGAGACTAATGAAGAACATTAGGAGTGTTAGGTCCAGAGTAGGCTTAATAATTACTCACAGCTAAAACAAGAGATGAAGGCAGCCACTAATTATTTCCTTTAACCAAATAAATGTAAAATCTAAAATGTCAAACCTAAGTGCTAAAACATACTCAAGTGTTGCTTTCAAACATGTTTAATTACGGGATAATGAATGAAGGTATCTGAAAATTCAAGATTATACTCACACATGCCAGCTAGTATGGCTTCTCCATGGAACCTAGATGCCAAAAATATAAAAGTTGACACATCTATTTTTTCATCCGAAACAATTTTATTTGAGTTAAACAAATTTATTATTATAAACAATAATTTTTTTTCTTCGAAGTATTTAATATAATTATATATAAAATTTTAAGACAACTTAAATTGAAATAACACCGTGTCAAATTCAAATATAATTATGAATCTTTTAAGATAAAAAAGAAAGTGTTGATAGAGAATCAATTATATACGCATGTATCTCTTTCTATTCTCTCTATGATCTTTTATATTCATATAACATTCATGGAAGACATAACTATATACGCGCTAATATTTACATAAATGAGAGTAGTCTTTTTATTACTTTTCAATTCTCAGTTTTTTTAACAAGAATTTGGATTTCGTTATTTTTCTTTTTAAAGTTAAAGATAATATTAATTAATTTTTTGTCTATCATATTGTAACGAGCATAAGGCTAAGGAGGGGAACCATCCCTCAAAAGCCGGCCCAAGAGGTTGGAGAACCTCCCGCCTTATAAGGCCTCCCTGGTAAGGAGACCTCCCCGATGTGGGACTTGTTACATTACCACCCCCTTCGAAAGCCAGCGTCCTCGATGGCTGCACTCCACGGTACTTCACTCATCGGCACTTCACTCGGCCCTTGCCGGTCAGAACCCTCCGATGGTCAGAACCCTCCGTGGGTAGCCCTTCTCGATTTGGCTGGCTCTCAACACATGAAATATTGTGTGCAAGAAAAATTCATAGATTCAAGGCATACTATATAAACTTATAATGAAATAGCTAATGTATAAAATTGTTATTAAATCAATTACAATGGTTGGTGTCATTAAAATTAAAAAAAAACTTAAAAGTGCATTATTGATATAAAAACTATTAAAAAAATAATAACATAGAGAATGACTAAATATCACTTTCTTTATATTCTTTAAATGATTAAATATTTTTTAATTAAATTTTTTCATGCTCTAACTTAAAATTATTAATAACTAAGAAATAAATAACTTTATTTTGTAAATTTTTTTTATCACGACTTAATATTATTAATAATTGAAAGTAAATAATATTTGAATATTTATGCTAAATTTTGTTAGTATATTAAATAAAAATATTTTTTTAATAATCATACACGTATAAAAAAAATTCCTAGAAATTTTATCCCCCCTCATAGATACACTACACTAAGCTCCGCCTCTAGAGACCAATGATGACAATGAGAAGAAGGTAAATACATTAACCACTATCATCATCTTTTACTTGATCAAGAAAAGGAAACTTTTTGAAAAAAAAAAAATATCATCATCTTTTATCAGTTAATAATCACTTAGCAGCCATCTTAGTTCATTTAATCACGTGGGCAGCTGTAGACTAATTTTACATGTTTCATAAATAACCTTTCAAGGAAATTACTTTATGAGAGGGAAAAGTCATAGAAGCAAGTCAATATATTTATAAAGAACAACATGGCCGAAGCTTTCGCCAGTTGTAGCCTAGTGCCGTCTACACTTTTCCTTTCCAATGTATTATTTTAGTTGGATTCTATAGACAGCATCACACCTCAAATGCTCTAGACATGCGTGAATGGTAAAATTATAAGCAAACTTCCCAATAAAACAATAGATGAGCTTCTTAGGCACACTGATTATATTATTTTATTTAATATAATAAAAACTTGAAGCAAAAAAAAGGTGAGTTTTCCATGATTTTTTTTTTTTGTATTTTTTTTGTATTTTCAAGTCCTTAACATTTTCTTGAAAGAAAAAAAAAAACATAATTCCTAATTCTGATTCTATTAATAATTATGCCTCCTTGATTGCCATCCAATCTTTTAGAATGGCCTATTTGACAATTTGGCATTATGGAATATAGTTTACAAAATACTGGCTCTGTCTATTATTAAGACTCGACCATTTGTCAAATTCTGTTACCATGTAGTTACATAAATCTTGATCATAATCATAATTTCTTAGTTCTCTAAAGTGTCTGAGTTTATGGAAAGGGTCCATAAATTACCCCTATTTATTCTAAACGATTATGAACAAGATATCTACATGGCGAATAAATTAGATATGCTATGCAACAATCAGAAAGCAGTAAAAGGAAGGATTTTGAAGAAGAAACCTTTGAAGCGTGCTTTTATATATTTCGTAAAACTGGGAAGCTTTTTGGCGTTCCCTCGCTCTACAAGC